TCACAGGTTAATACCCATTAGAAAAGTATATGACACAATATATGAGTGTCATAGGTGAAGTACATATTTAATGCCTTTTTCCAGCTAACGTCAGATGGTTGTGACCGTTTCTGCTTTTGTTTAACGTTTGTAAAATTTCTCATGTGTTTTAATCCAACTCTTTGAAGTCTTGTGTTAAATTACAGTATGCTGTTGAGCCTTCATAAATAGTAGCTGTGTTCTGTACCATTAATGACTGTTTTCATTGTCGAATGCAATCAGTCTTGGTTATCCTTATCTATATATTTGCAAGGTTTAAATGTTTTCTCTGAGAGAAAGAAGGGGGAAAAAAGTTGTGCAGGTCTGATGCTAATTAAAATCACCGAATCATTAGGTTGAAAAGGACCTTCAAGATCATCAAGTCCAACCATTAATCCAGCGCCACCATGTTCCCTAAACCATGTCTTGAAGCGCCACATCCACACGTTTTTTGAACACTTCCAGAGATGGCGACTCCACCACCTCCCTGGGCAGCCTGTTCCAATGCCTGATCACCCTCTCAGTGAAGACATTTTTCCTAATATCCAATCTAAACCTCCCCTGGCGCAACTTGAGGCCATTTCCTCTTGTCCTATCACTAGTTACTTGGGAGAAGAGGCCAACACCCTCGTCGCCACAACCCCCTTTCAGTTAGTTGTAGAGAGCGATAAGGTCTCCCCTCAGCCTCCTCTTCTCCAGACTGAACAACCCCAGTTCCCTCAGCCGCTCCTCATAAGACTTGTGCTCCAGACTCCTCACCAGCTTCGTTGCCCTTCTCTGGACACAATCCAGCACCTCAGCATCCTTGTCATTATATTGGGGAAAAATGTGCTGGAACATGAATGGTTTTAATTACCAGATAGGTTTTTGCTTGGAAATTCTGGCCTCAGGCACAGAAGGGAGCTGAGTATCAGGCAAAGCCTTTAAGCTCTCAGGTGAGTCAAAAGTCATATGACCCAAGGCATGTACACATATATACACACACAGGTCAAGTGACTGCTTCGTTTCTTCTCCTGGACTGAGAGGACTTGTTTTACTCTTAGATTCAGGGTTAAATATACCTTCTCTATTCTTTATTTAGTCTTCATTTTGCTAAAGGGCATACTAGGATTTTTGCTTTAGCTTGAGGGTTTTTTTTTTTTTCACCTGCTCTTTTGGACTTTGAAGAGAAAGAAATACTCAGGAAAAAAAATTCTACCTACAGATGGACAGTTCTGTAGAGGCAGCAGCCCCCAAAAGGCTGCCTGAGAGTTCTGCATCTACAGATAGAGGTAAGGAGCTTCAGATATGGTTTAGAAAGATCATTTTTTATTGCACAGTTGTAAGACTGCATCAGACATTAATATTTTCACAGCCTTAATGATAGAGAGCAGGCTTGAGGGAAAAGTGCTGTCTTGATGGGGAGCTAGTGGTGCTTGTAGCATGCAAAAATGGGCTCTAGGCTGAGATTTTACAGAACTTTGAGTCATTTTCTTGTTTACAATTTCTCCTTGCCTCTGTAGTATGGCTGTGCCTGATTGAAGGTGGCTGTTGCTGTTAGCAAGGTCTAGGAGTTGTTTTTCAGATGACATTATGTTCTGCAGTGCCTGTCCCAGCAGTGAGCATTGAGAAACCTGCATTTGGTTCCAGATTTCCCTTGTGATCTTCTGCAAGGCGTATAATCTTTCGGTGTCTTGGTTTCATCATTATTTATATGTATTATTTATAAAATAACATCTCAGGGCAACAGCTTGTGGTGAGCAGTGTGCTGATACTGATGAGATTTTCAGAAACTGGTAGAAGTAGGAAATACTTGCACTGGGTGGGGGAAGGGTATGTCAGCTACTTTGTAAGAGCTGAGATCTTGTTGCATTCATGTAAGGACTGTTTTGATAGACTGGGAGGCTGCTGAAGGATTTTTTTTTTAATTTTTTTTATTCTGGGTCTGACGAGAGGTTTTTCAGTAAATTTCATTTGCCTTTGCAATATGTTTAGTGTATGAGGAGTTTGAAGGTGTGGTACAAGATGTTTATTTTGTTTATCGTCTATTTACTTCAAACCTAGGCAGTTTCAAACAGTTAAATGTAATCTGGATTTGTAATTTGTAAATTCTGATTAATAAAGCTATAACATGATTTCGTTTCAACTGTCATTGATTTGAACACTAATGTGACTTATGTTTAAACTGACATAGTTGTCAGCTATGGTAGAAGAAAGTATACTGTTGTTAGCACATCACTGTATCCATATTAGAAATATTTTCCACTTAAAGTATCCTGTAAAAGCTTGTTCGGGAATCCCACTGCTGATGTTTGTTTCTTTGCAGTCACATATGGCTGATTGTTAAAAAGTATTTTTCTTCTCTCTGTTTCTTTGTGAATAACTTTTTTTTTCTTCTGTATGACAGAAAGAAAATAGCTTTTAAATAGAAATTGGAATCATTGGCTACTCAGAAAGCCTAGTCAGTCTGGAAAAAAAACATTCTCTTCATCAGATCTGTCTGATTTAACCTCACTGCATTAGAGAAATTACCTTCCTTTTCTAGGTGGAGCGAATGAGGCCAGAACTTTTAGCTCTTTCTCTACATTAAGAATTAATGTAGCAAATGATGGAGAAAGCTGTTAGAAATAATATTTCCGTTGTTTTGTGGGCTATAGCTACTCACTTAAATCAGGTTTCTGTGGGTTCCCCCCCACTTTGACCCATAGTAAACTGCAGAGAGAGGTGACTTCTCAGTGGATTGCAGTTTTATTAGGGCTAAACAGTTTGAGAATTTCACTTTAAACTCCAGCTGCTTTATAAAGTTGTGGCTTATTTTTTCCCTATTTGCATCACTAAAATTCATAATGCCATGGAAATAAGGTGTGAAAACCAACGTAAAGATTTTTGTGGAATATGACAGACCGTGAGTAGTCCTTATCTCAGTAATACTGAAGTTTTGAATATATTTAATAAAAGAAGTCATTGGAAGAGGACGCAGAATTAGAGAGCTCCATTTAAGGGATATTAATGATGCGGCAGTCTGAAGGCACTCGAAGATCTTTGGCATGTGCTATAGGAATTCACACCAGTGCTACCTGAAAAAGGACTGTGAGCTTTTTTATTTGCATTAGGATTCCTAGACATTTCCTTAAAGGGAACAGATAGTACTGAAGTAAAAAGGTGTAATTAGTGTCAGTGTCAACCTACCTGGGGGTTTTGTGGTGGAGCTCTTTTCATTTATTGCACTATACAAGTAGCAGAACACATTGAGATAATGTTGTGGCACCAATCTTTAAATTACACTATGATACATCAAGCGCTTTGAGAAGCTAATTAATATGTGAGCAATTAAATCACCATTACATAATGGGTGCTCAGAAAGAAGTTAGTTGTGGAACGTAACTGGTCTTCAGTGTTCACGCTGAAAACTGTAGCATTATGAAGAAGATGTTACAGGAAACAATCTGACCCTTGGGTACAAGAAGCCTCTTTGGAAGTGTGGAGAGATGCCACTCCAGATATGTTTCATCTAATTTACCATTCCAAATTTGAGATTGTTTTGATGTAAAGGCATATGACAGGCTTGAGGCATATGACAGCTCTTTGTTTTCCTGCTGGGATTCCAGATTCTGGTGAGCAAGTCTTACAGGATTAATATTACGTCATCAGGTAGCATCACAGGCTCCCAGGAAAACATGGCCTGTCACAGAAGTGCAGTGAAATCACCATTGCCCTGAACGTTGTGTCCCTTCATGCTGGGTGAACAGGGTCAGTTCTGCTGGCTCTTTTTAAGCCTCTGCTGATGCTTCCTCCCCTGTCATGTGTGCGGGGCTGCTTTGTGTGCCAGGCCAGCAGCACCTCTTCCAATACCACTATGGCATCTCTTTCATCTTGGCTTCCACTTGGGTCAGTCAGGGTTTTCACAGCAGCATTGCTAAGTTGTTTCACTTCTTCCCAAACTCCTGTTTCCAAATGTCCTTGATAATAGCTGAGCAATGGTGAATATTTCACGGAAGAAATACTACAGATGTGGGGGATTTATTTTGGCTGCATTGTTCTACCAGAAGTTCCGTTATCCACTTGAGTTTTGTAAGGTAGGTATTTTTGCAAGTCTTCTGAGACCAAGACTGATGGTCTGAGATAGTGAGGATTTCTGAAGAGTATTTACCCATTTGTGGCTGGGTATTTCTGCTCTTTAATGACTGTGAGTTCTGGTCAGTGATGATTTTGGTTTCACCTGCACTGTTGAATGCGTTGGGTAGACATTCTGTTGTTTGGTTTTTTTTTTTAATGTAACTGGATGTTCAGATATCAGAGTGTAAGGGGAAGGACCAGTTATTTATTGTGATTGTTGTCAATATATATTGATGAATGTGTGTTTTGGTATATTGTGGATTTTCTTCAGTTCCTGTTGGTCTATGGGAAGCTGCTTCTGACGATGTGGTGGGGAACGGAAAACTTTTTTACATGATCACTTCCCAGTAAAAAAGGGGTACGTGAAGGACTCAGAACAGTTAGTAAAAGTTTTTCATTGTTCTGTTTTTGGTAGGTTCTCCTCCACCCAGAAATATGAACATATGCATGTGATCATATAGAATAATCTAATTATAAAGCACCTCCCCTGTCCAAAACAGCATAGCAGGTATTAAATATCCAGGGCATTAATGCAATAGTCATTTGAAGTTTGTACTGTTGTAAATCATGTGCTGAAGCATGATGAGAACATTATAAAAAGGGGAGGCAGTGCTGTTAGGATTCAGCAATAATATTGACAGTTGTGCTCAGAAAGGGCGAGTCTGAAGGAAATACTCAGATGTTCAGAAATGGTTATCAAGTTTGTAACCCATCCACAGCTATTTCCAAATCTGTCTTGACTGTGCACCTGAAAGGTTACAGTGAAAGTACTGGAAGCCAGCTGTGGATGGGATTAATTACTTACGAGTGTTTGTAACATCAGCTTTTATAGGTTGCTAAGGATTCTTGTGGTTTTTTGCCTCTTTAATTCTAGCTTCTCCTTCTGGCTTTGAGAGTGTTGCTGCTGTAGAAGAGGATCTGAACAGCGAGCTGATGAACGAAGACATACGTATCCATAGCTGGCCTTGTTCTTACTACTTGGACACGAGCAAGCAATGGGTCTCTGGCAGACTCTCGCTGACTCCTGTTGCGATCAAATTTACAGCTGACAAAACTGGGGAGCTTTTGGTCAACTTCCATCTTTCTAGTATCAGTGAGATCAAGAAGGAATCTTCAAATTTAATCTTCAGCTCCCTTACCATCTTGGAGAAGAACACCAAACACTGGTTCAGTTCTCTGCAACCCAGCAGAAATGTGGTGTTCAACATCCTTGAGCACTTCTGGAGGGAGCAGTTGCTGTCAAGCCAAGGCACAGGAGCAGAAGCAGCAGCTTTGCAGTCAACAAAGGGAAAAGAGCTGACCGGGTTATTGACTGGATCGCAGAAACGACTGGAGGACACAGCAAAAGTGCTGCATTACCAGGGTGAGCAGTTTGATAACATCCTGAGAGGACTCAACAAGATCGAAGGGGATATGGATGTGGCAGACAGGTATGGTACTGTAGCATCCTCTGAGCTAAGCAGTGGTTGTAGGATTGTGTTGTTTGTGTCTGGAACTCATGGGGCAGATCCACAGAAGTCTTTAGGAGACCAAACTGTTGACTTTCACTGAAAGTTCAAGCCTGCGATGGCCTTTTGTGGATCTAGTTTGTTGTTCGAAGACATTTATCTTGGTCCTCCCTTCTGTGTGGCATTTTTTTACCCTGGTGAAGTTGGTTTTGTATATATATACACCTGTCCTCTCTCCTTCAAGTAACTTTTTCAGGCCTTACAAGTTTCAGCCACAACTGGTGGAAGTGGTAGAGGTCTCCAAAATACTAACAACCTACAGGTTTTGAGAGACTAGGCAATGAGTTATGAGAAAGATGCAAATTAATGTCCCAACTGAAGGCCATGTTATGGCATTCACATTTTTATTAGATGTCCTAGAATATGCATAAATGAAAAATCCTGGAAGTTGGCTTTGGTTACTTTTGCCAGTCCTGGACCAGCCTGTTTTGCTGTTCCACAGCAAACACAACCACAGTTCTGCTTTTCTGGTTCTTTTCAAAGGCAATGTTGAACATGGCAGGTGGGCTGCTGACTTGGAGCCAGTTTCCTAGAGTTATCAGGAGACAGCTGCCAAATAATCTTTAGTTCAAGTAGCTTGTACTCTTTTCTCTGTGCATGAAAGTCAGCTATTGGGGCTGCTTTTTGCATACAAAGCGTGTATACTTGAGGTCTTTATATTTGCCTTTTCCTTCCCAAGGACGGACTTCCCAGATACACACAGCAGCGAGGATTGGGTCCATGGTGCGGATGTAGTTAGGGAAATGGCTGTAGAAACAGTGCTCCCTTATTTGTGCTATAAAATTACTTTTAACCTTACATGGACTGCTGCCTGCCTGTCCAGGTGGAATAAATAAATTTTGAGGAAAATATGAGCAGTGTTGGGCAACACTGAACTGCAGAGCTTTGTCTGCAGAGTGTGGTGGTGCAAGAACTGAGGAGGCAATACTAGACTATTTGTGGTCATCTCAGTCAGGCTCTTAAGCCAGTGTATTCAAAAAATATTAGCCACCAGGTGCTGCCTTTAGACAACAGAAATAAGGGAGTTGGAGCACACTTGAGATGTTGCTTAACTTTAGCTGTTGCAGGACTCTATGTGAATAGTACATGGTTGGTGTCTTAATCAGAAAGTTATGACTTTAATGATTAACATTCAAAGTGAATTATTCTATGCTATCTTTGCAGTCCAAAATAGTAAGATTAAGAGTAGCATTGTAATGTTTGAAGATATATAGCTATGAGTGTTTTTGTGGAAGCTCTGACACCTGCATGAAGAAACAAACACAATAAAGTTCAAACTAGTTGTTTTTGGAAGAAGCATCTGTTTTTAGACGGATATCATGTCTAAAAGAAAGTGTTGATTTCACAATGATTCTGATGATATTCTCCATACTCTTTAATGAAAAGCCAAGATAACTGAAAGCTTCAGCAATAGCTTTTAAAGTTCTGTAGCAATAAACAGTGAGTAGGAAAATAAATACCTGCTCATTGTTCTTGGAAGAGAGTTTTGTTTTGGGTTAAAATGCACTGGGAGGTATTATTTGTCCTCATGAATCTGAAGAGCTAGATGCTTTGATTTAAAAATGGAAAAATAAAGGAAGGCATTGGCCAAATGTTAGCTGAGTTTCTGTTTTATCTACAGAACGAAGAGTTTGTCCAGCTTGCTCACAGGCTAAAATGCAGCCCAGAACCATTAGCAAAACGGTGTTTTAATTGCACTGTGCTCTTTGAGGAGTTATAATACTTTCTAGCATAGTTTATGTGTGTGTGTGATTTTTCTCATAAAGGAGCTTCCACCTCCGCCTCCCACCCAAAGTCTTCTCTTAAACTGATGACATCTTCATGTCCCTAACCAGTGTAGAAAATGGGGAAGACGGTGATTGAAGCTCATTTGATTGGTACATATTAGGTAATTCAAATTATTAACATAGATAAACATCCTAATGTCTGTTAAGGCTCTTTGATTCTGGCTTTCTTTAGAAATGTGATGAGCTGTAACTACATGGGTAGTATGATGGAGAACTATTTTGCATGTGTAACGGATTTTGTGCAGAAGGAAACTTTGGCATATGAGTGACACCAGTTCGATGGTGGCATGTTTCATAAAAAGAACCAGGTCCCTTTATCTACTTTCAAATGTTTAAAACTTTGATTAACTTTATCTTGTCTGTATGTGTGGGCTTTTTTTTGAGTATTAATGCTGTTCTTGTGGATGCCTGGGTATATACAGCTGCTTTCAGTGGACCTGTGTGCCGATAAGCAGAGCTAAGTCTGACAGGCTAGCAGATGTTCAAAGACCAAAAATAAACAGAAAGCCAGATTCACTGGCTCCTTTTTAATATATTAGTATTAAGAGGACAAGGTACTCTGGTTGCAAATTTTGATTTGTGTATAAGGACTGGTCATATAGTTTGTTGATACAGAGGGGTGACTCCTCCGTGGAAGGCCAGAGAAGTTGGCTGAAGCCTTTGTTTAGGGCTGTGCAGCAGAAAAATCCTGACTGTAAATCAGACATCACACAGCCAGGATGTCAGTCCCTGAGGAAAGAGGGGAAGAGATGGGTGAAGGGATAACGTGATAAAAAAGAAGGCTCAAAGCTATCCAGAATAAGTTACCACAATGTAAAAGGACGTTTAGACTTCTCACATTGCAGCTGCTTTTCAGTAAGTGAACGCACATGCTTCTCTAACGGTGAATGTGGTGAAGCAAACCCACATTGCTGTAGGAATTTCATGACTTTTCATAGGTTAAGATACAGGCATAAGATGTTGTTGCCCTGAAGTACCTTGTTGTAACTCTTTCATACACCAGGAGCACAGAAAACGTGCTTTGCATTCTGTAGAACTGAGATCGGGCCGTTTGTTTCTGTTTAGCTGCAGCAGGTAGGTTAGAGCATGGCTTTTAATTTGGAAGATGGTGTGTGTACTAGCAGAGCCTAGGACTTTTTCAGTCGTTCTCTGTGTTGAACTTAAGTTGAACCTCATCGTCTCAGAATTCAGCCCTAAATCTATGATACTATGCCATTTCAAAACCTGTTGTTGTAGAATTTTCTGTTACATCTGCTTTGGTCTGTCTTTCCCCCCCCCCCTTTTTTTTTGTTTTTAAGGAGTGTCACAGCGTTTTCAGAGGGCAATGGAGAGCTCCAGACCCATTACTCATGTTGCATGCTATCTACATAAATATCTGATGTTCATGCTTTACTTGGGAGTAGATTCTTGGAACAATTCATTCTGCCTCTGCTCTCCATGAATTCAGTGGTTGACTCCCAGTATGACTTTTCTGCTTTGCTTAGCAGATGAATTTCTTTAAGTAGGTCTGTTTTGAAGCTGGTGTAGAACTTTGATGGCTAGTAAACAAAGCATGTTCAGTTAGAGCTTCCTCTTTCCGATTAGACACTGTCTGCAGCCAAATTAAACAGGATTTTAAAAGTGCAAAGCCTTCTGTAGATGCACTGTGATTCTCTCATGGAAAAGAAGCCACTGCAAAAAGTATCTTGAGAGCAGCACTGCTGTGATGCATATTTTATTAGGCAGTACCTTTCTAGAGTAAACTTAAAAGCAAAGTAAATCAAGCTGGGTCTCCGAAATAGCAATGAAGCAGTAGTACTTTGTATTTTGGCCTGATAAGGCTTGCATCTCTAGGTTTTAAGTCAGTAAAAATAGTCTTTTGTAGCATCAGTAAGATGGAAGTGTTTCATTAAAGATTTTATTACATGTGTTCTGGCTTCATTAGTAGCATTTACTACAACTACCATGACACTGGCACATGGCTAATCACTGGATAGTCTTTAAAGTATTTATGGGATGTGGGGGGGATGACACAATTCTGATCAGGGTTGAACTTCCTTAGAGCTTTTTTTTTCCTTTGTTTGGTTTAAACATAACCTCTTCCCTCCCATGAGAATTTGAGTTAATTGAGAATTGATTTGTGCCTCCAGAGATGGCTTTCAAGTTCTGCTCAGTGACTGACAGTTGGGCTGAGAAATCTCCATTTTAAGATGTCCTGATCAGGTTAGGGGGTTGCAGGCTGTTGTGGTTTGTGGGATGTTTCCAGCTAGCTCACCACTGTTTTCCAGTGGGGACTGGGTAGGGATGCAGTTGGATGCATCCTGGAGAGTTGACTTGGCCCTTCCTATGCCTGCCTGCAATTGGAGATGAGCCACTCCAGCTCAGATGTGAGGTGGGTACCAGCGGCTGCTGGTGGGTGAGAGAGAAGGTGGCTGGTTGCACAGTGGGAGGGAGTGGGGGGTATGAAGTTATTGTTGACTGTGCAGTGAGATGTAGTTGGCCCCAAAATTTCTTCCCAGCCACTGAGGCCGAGTCATCCTGAAATACAGGATCCTCTGCTCGCAGGATGGGTTTGGGTGGTGGGCAGGGGAAGAGAGGAGAGGGGGAGAAACGGGCATCATAGGTGCTGAATGTGGCCCTGCATCTAACTCCTGTCTAGACCTGGAGAGGGGTGCGAACAGATAGGCAGCACAGTACATGGAAAATCAAACCAAACCCACCACCTTTCCTCTTGTTCCTGGGGTTTTTTTTGGTGAAAAGAGTACTGGTGAGGCTTAGACCCAAAGAGATCTGTGATCCTTATCCTTTCTTGGGAGAGGACCCCAGAAAAGGGGGATAGGCTATGCTGAGAGAAAATACAACAGAAAGATCATGTCCTCCATATCATTGATACTTCCTAACGGTGTGTTACATCTTTCTTGCCTGCAGCTGGTAAACTTAGGTGCCTGCTTAGGTCTATCTTCTTGCTTAGAAATAAGGGGCTTGACTCCCTGTGTTATTTCTCGCTATATAGAGGTCATCCTTGGGAGCAATTGCTTAATTCCTCCATAAAGTGAGTCTGGTTACCTTTAAGCTAAGGCACCAGTTAGCCAGCAAGAAGGTCTGTCTCCTCCAGGAGCTACAGCAACATTGATGTTGAGGCAGACTCTGGACCCCAGTGGGCAGTCTCTGCTGGGCTTTTCAGCTCAGCCTTGAACTCTGTTTTAACTGGCAATGGGAATTTGGGAGTGGGGGCAAAGCAAAAGGTGGCATCCGACTATGGGGCTGAGGTATAAAAGAGTAGAAAAAGGCACTGGTAGTAATGGCCAAGTGTGGAAACATTGAGGTAAAAGGCAGCGTTAGCTGAAGAGCAGATGGGTGTAAACTGGCCTGAATAAATCCAGTTGAAAGCTGGATTCCTCACATCAGAACGGTGAGATTCTGGGACCGCTTTCCAAGGTGTTAGCAAATGAAGAAAAGCTGGTTTTTAAACCAGATGGATCCTGGTAAGCTGGGAATAGGTTTGAGGAGCAAAATAATAGAGGTCTGGATTCAGTGTTAAGAAATCTTTGTGTCTGTGGTAATTTGCTTTGAACTGGTGTGGTAGCACAACCCTCCTATTGGCTTTCACTCTTCTAACACTTTCTTTTCTCCGCTAGGTTGTTGACTGAGCTTGAATCTCCTTCTTGGTGGCCGTTTAGCAGCAAGCTCTGGAAAGCACCATTGGAAACCAAGCCAAAGGAAACTGCCACAGTTTCCGATTCGAAGAACCAGGAAGGAATCGTAATTAGAATTCCAGTTATTATCACCCACAGAACAGACTCAAATGTCAAGCCAGGAAAACTCACGCTCTTTGCTTCTGGCCTGGAAATCAGTGACTGCAATTCTCAGGTCATTCACCGGTTTGAATCAAAGGATGTGGATGATATCAGAGTTCATACGCCATATGAAATCAGTGTCCGTCAGAGGTTTATTGGGAAGCCTGACACTTCTTACCGGCTCTTGTCAGCAAAGATGCCAGAAGCAATCCCCATCTTGGAGATGCAGTTTAGCAAGAAGATACAGTTTTTAGAAGATGCCCTAGGATTTGTTGGTGCTAGGAAGTCTCCTCAGGTAGATTTGGGGACCTCCATTTGGCAAGCAGGTATGTGACAGACAAAGGGATCCATCTGTAAGCAGTACCACTAGCACCAAAAGTTTCCAAGTGGTTTTCAAACTCTGAATAGTGTATAATATTTACAAGCCAAATCCTCTCCCCCCTGCCCCAGTGGTGAGACCATACTGATGATAAAATGCAAGAAATTACTGCTAGGTGACTTTAGGCCCTCTTGCCGAGAGAGAGAGGGTAGAGATGGCAGAAGTGTGTGACCCTGTTTGAGTCTAGTTGGATTTACTTTCTCCCAACTACATTAGCAAAACCTGTGACTGTAGATGCTGAAGCTGAGTGTCCCTTGGGGGCCTGGCAGCTGGAACAAGCCAAGCCCTCTTTAATTTAGTGCACTCAGCTGGTGTTGTCACTAACTCCACACCACTTTGTGAAAGGGTTAGCTTAATTTGAGTTTCAGCTACTGGCCTGTGTTTTAACTCCAATGTCATTCTTTTTCGGTGATCACCCGTTCAGTATTGTGCCACTCTGTGAGGAAGGGTCATTAGAAACCCATTCCTCTCTCCTGACTGCATGCTGCAGAGTCCTCTCTCATTGCTGTCTTTCCCTTAGCAGTTTGTAGCTGGAAGCATATTTATATTAAGCCTGTTGTTCAGTTAAATGTAGAAGGTTTAAAACAAATTTCCAGTCCAGCAAGTTTTTACATAACGTATGGGATAAACCTCATGTTAATTTTCATATCTTAAAAAATAGAATTTTGTTATTTGAGAAATTCAGGTGTTTGGATTTAGGAGATTTTAGGTCTTAGAGAAGGTGAATGCATTGTTTAATCATGTTAAGAAAAAACAGAGAAGACCGAAACCCTTTCACAACAATAAGAATGACATTCCTTACTACTATTATTTCTTCTAAAATTCTGGGGAGGGTTGTTTTTTTGTTTTTTGTAATCAAACCTGGATTCATTTGGAGACGTGGTGAATTTTTGTCTGTTAGGAATTATTTCTATCTAACATGCCTGAGTCCTCTTTTCTCCCTAATTGTTAGTGACAAAAGAGCAAATCAGTGGATGCATTTATTGCCAGTGTATTAAAAATGAATAGAAAAATGATGCAGTAAAACAATAGATGAGCCTGTTTCTGTGCACCAAGCTAAAACTGGAGTTCAGCGGTGAGGATAATGTCCTCTTGTTGACAAGTCGTCAAGGGCCATAGCTTGGAAAAGCTTGTTAATTTTTAAGGAAGTAAGTCTTGGGCATCTGGCACTAACATGTCAGCACAACAGCTTAGAGGGAAAACAACCTGCTGGTTTCTTAAGCACTGAGTTATTCCAGCAAATTGGTGTTCAGTTCCTGATGGTCTTAAGGCTGGTTACATAAAATAATTGGTTATACAGCCCTACTGTGCTTAATTTCCCACTGCTCTGCTCTGTTTGCATCTGAGTCAGTGAGTCAAGGATATTGCTCTCCTACCCCCACCCGCATTTTGACTGTTTAATTTGGAAATGTCAGTAAAGAAAACTGGAGGTTATGGAAATCCTGACTTTTCCAGCTCCACCAAAACCCTTGTTTGTTCCTTCCCTGGAGTCTGTCGCCGTCTGTCTTCTGTCGCAAGATGGCAGTCACGGACTGCGTTTTAACCTCTGGGTTTTTCCATGGCTGCTCACATGGTGGAAATACTGATTTTTAATTTTTTTTTTTTAATTTTTTTCCCCTAAAAGCAGGGAAAAAAGTCAATGTTATGCATGCCTGCCTTTGTGTACACATAAAATATATGTGTGTATTTTCAGATAGCAAATGTTGATTCAGAGACTTATAGGAGAAATATCCTTGCAGCGGAGGTACATCTGTCTCTGTGAACTGGCTCGTAGTGTTCTTTGCCCTCGGTGGTGCAGCTCAGAGCCGTGAACATTTCCACAACTGTCATGGTCTCATCTGGATCCTGTCTGTTTATACTAGTCCTGCCTTAAAGTTGTGCATGTTGCATATTTGTATAAGTAAATACAAAAACCTTGTCTTTCCTAAGAGTTTTGGCTTGATTCCACCTAGAAGAGGAATTTGTGAAGAGTTTTAGACACACCAGATTATCTGAAAGTATTTTTAGCTGCTTTGCATGTCTTTTCTGGCTGTATTTTTTTTTAGACCGAGCCTCACGGGTGTTTAAATGCTCAGGACAGAACAGTGAAGTTCGTTTTGTAACAGAGGTTCTTCTGTGCTGGATTAAGCCAGTACTTTGCTAGCCAGTAACACCCTCAATAACTGAGGCTGATAACTACCGAGGATTAAAAAACGCAAGAAATCCTACAGCGTGCCTTCAGTATAACGATCTAGGGCAGTGCTGTCTCAATCCTATAGCTGAAAACTGATATTCACAGCTATTTATCCCTTTCGAAGCTGCTGAATTTTTCCTGCTTACCCCTGTAACTGAGTGTTCCTCGTTATTATGAGTTTCCAGCACCTTGTTCAGAGGTTTGGTAGCTTCTCGTCCTCAATGTGGTGGCAGCGAGTCTCACAGTCCAATTGGGTGTAACACAAATAAAACAAAACTGCTTTTCTAAATGTTTCTGCCTTTCTATTCAATACTCTCCCTTTTTTTTAAAACTAGAAAATTGCTGTGAAATTCGTCATCCCATTCTTTTTGTGCGCTTTTGTCATATCCCTCTCCTGTTCTTGTCCTCAGTGAGATTAATGGAGTGAAATGGGTAGATTTCTTCTTTTTAATGAAATAATCAGCATATGGTGACACTCAGCTGATAAGAAACACAAAGAATCTGGCTATTTGCTGCCATAGGAAGGTCTGTCATTCCCTCCCCGCTTGTCCTCTGAGTGAGACCACGACAGTAATTTACCATAAGCAGTGTTTTTCAGTGCCTGGCTCGTACCCCTCTGAACAGAAGGAGCATTTGCACAGGGTAACACTAGTACAGTGAATGACTTGCTTGTCTTAAATCTTGACGGTGTCTGAGTCCAGTGACTCTCAGGCTGATAACCAAATAATTCCAGGGATTATGAGTTTGCTGTAATTACTTGAGAGGGATTTAAGGTTTGATACTTTTGGTTTAGCTTTTGCCTCCCTTTTCACGGGGAGATAATGCTATCCAAAGCAGTTGGGTGTACACCGTCAGTTGGCCAGCCAGCTGGGCACCAGCTCCTCGACCTGGCCTCTGACATGGTGTCTGTCCTGATGTACCTAAGAGCTGCTGTCATTGTCCTGTGCCGGGTCAGGCCATGTGCTCACAGGTGGCAGCGGTAGAATTCTCTTCCTTCTCGGTGCCTGTTTTAAGTGGGAGAACTTTGGAGATGTTTGAAGCGCCTCTAGGAGCCAAGATGTGTTTAGCACCCATCTGCATCAGAAATAACAACCTTTCCTTGCAGCACGTCCCTGCTACCCTACTGGGCAGTGTCAGCTACTGCAGTAAGAGGTGATGCTTTAAATAAAGGACAGGTGGCATGTGGCACCAGGGATTGCGTCCACGCTGCTCAGCTGGGGGGGGCTGTTAGCATCAGTGTTGCCCTTCTGTTTCCGGGGTTTACTGTCTTGACTTTTGGGCTCTCTCCCTGATCGGTCACTTTTAAATTGTTTAATTAAAAAGATTAAAAGGAGAAGAAGCAGTGGGTGGAGAATCATCTTGTATCTGATTGGGAGTGCGTTGCTGTTCCACTGCTCTCTGTTCAGATGAATCCCCACAGCCCAAAATGAACCCATTCTCCCAATGTTGCCTTTATAAGTCATCTCTCAGCAGCCTGGTCACCTCCAGGTTAGGCATTGTACAAAATACAGCTCGTATCCTTTCTAGAAGAACATAGCTTAACAGGCAAGGTTGGGTTAGGCTTCTCAGAGCCTGTGCGCCTGGGCCCTTGCAGACTGCTGTGGAGCAAAGCGGAGGTCAGCCAGTTTGATACTAGCGCTAGTCCTCCCCGTTGGTGCAGGAGATGGCAGTCTGACCATGGGAATGTCTCTTGCAGCCACGGGACTCCTCGGAGGAGTGGTGCAGCCCAGTTCTCCGGTGGGAGGCAGAGAAGAGATGGACAGTGACCAGGATCAGCTGCAGAAGCAAGAGAAGATCTCCCAGGAAGAAGCAAAAGAGCTTAAACAGGTAAAGTTGAGGTAACTTTGGTAAGAGTTGTTTCACTCCCTTTGCTTCCTTAATAATATGCATTTTCATCATCAGAAACATAGTCAGTGTCCTTAAAATATTCCTCTACCTAAATTTAGATGGGCATATTTTAAAAATTAGTTGATCAAGCCTGTGATTAAAATACACTGATAACTTTATGGGTTTTTTTATTATTTTGAACAATCGGGGATTATCAGAAAAACAGATTAAGTGGTAGGATTATAAACTGAGGAAAATCCTTAACTGTAACCTGTTTTTTCTAAAGATAAAGAAGTTTAACAATTAAATAATTTTCAGCTTTTTTGAGTTTTCCCTATGCTATTTTATCCTTTTTAGTAAGGAGTAGCAGTTCTATTTCAGAAACATCCACAAAGCTGAACAAAGTGTTTTATAAACACACAGAGAGAACTTGTAGCTAGGAAATAAGTATGCAGTCCAGCAAATTAATATAGGGAAAGTAAGTTGGAGATTTTACTAGGAAAAAAAATAAGTTTATCCAGTCTGATATTGTTCCTCTAAATGGCTCTTTAAGGGATTTCACTCATAGTTAATGTTCAGAACTTTCAGTGAAGAGTCTCTCTTTGTAGTTTGTAGTTGATCTGAAACAGTGAACTAACTGGAAGAGCAAAGGAGTATGGTTTTAGTGGTTTCTTCGCTAAAATAGGTTTACTGGTGATGATCACAGCCACATCAGAAGATGTGATTGAAGATTAAACTTTTTTTTTATCCCCTCTAGCATCTTACTCTTTTGATATTCCATCTGTAGCTTAGTGATAGCGTCATGTGAAGTCTTTGCTAATTCTATTGCCTCTTAGCCAAGCCTGCAGTTTTCCAGCCCCCTTCTTTTATTTTATAGTTGGGAATTAGAATATGGCAACTTCTGCTAGCTTGAGTGCATTTGAGAATCACAAGACTTCGTAGAGACTTGAGTGGCTAAAAATGAAAACTTCTTGCAGAAAAAATCTATTTATTAAAATTAATCAACAGACAGTTGGATAAGTGAGAGCTTAACTTTTGCAGAAGGTTAATTTAAGAAATTTCTGAAATTCTCTATGCTGGATGGTAGACTAGAAACAGTGTTATTTAAAACAAAACAAAACACTTTCAAGATTAGCTAGAGCTCAAAAGACAATTCTGCCACTCCAAGCCAAGAATTTTTAAGCCAGTTATTGATTTGGGGTGGTGTGGGTGGGAAGAAGATCTGGATGACAAGCTATGAATGGCCTGATTTTTTTTCCCAATAATTGCTGAGCACCTGTTCCCTGAGAGTCAGGCCTCTTTAATCATCATTCCAGTTATTAATTATTTTAAGGTACATGCCGTAATTCCTATAAAACTCCTGTTCCTTTTCCTTTCTAGGTGTCACTGCATAAATACACAGTTTTAGACCAAAACTTGCTTCTGTAACCAAAATATAATCATGATCTTTTGACTGAAATATCTTATTTGGGCTTTTTCAAAAACAAAATGGATTATTCACCATTTAATCATTCTCCCTTCTTCTCATCTTTTAAAGAGCTCATCTCCATGATCTATCATGTTATCAAAAAATAAGCATTTTCTGAAGCAGCGTTGAGCTTTTGGAAGATTTTAAGGGAGAGTATTTCTCAATCGTAGTTGTACAAATAGCAGCAGTCTATTATTCACGCATGCATACACTTTGTACAGCTGTTATGTATTCAGAAGGGCTAGTTGTTCCTTCCTTAAATGTCAGCTTTTCAGCATGATTATTCTGTTTTGTAGCCACACCCAAAAAAGCTAAATACGGTGTGGAGCATTGTTGGTCATGGACTACTATTGAAGACACATTTTGCTACACCTTTCAAAAGACGCTCTTGAGGAGTTGCTTCCCCAGGCCCAGTTCTTGACAGTTGAACACCAACCTTTGTTGGTGCTTAATATCATCAAAGCAGTTGGCTGTGACTGGAGAAGCAGAGGAAACATAGGGCGGGGAGTTCAGTGTCTTTCAACAGGGCTTGTGAATTGGGAATGAAGCCCCTCATCTTGTGCCGACTAGTGTCTCTCCAGCTGCTCCCAACTCCCAGGAGTTGCCCAAGCACTGCTTATTCTCATTGCTCTGAAGTGCAAAGCAGAGTGAAATAGCTCAGGATCTTTTGGCTCTGTTAGGAGAGAACGTGGTGAGGTTTAGAGTGCAAGTGTAAAGGTGTGGAAGTGAAGGAAAGCGTGACTGAAGGGTGCAGTTCCTACCAGTAAAAGTGGATTTAAGAGGTATGGAGGTTGGGGAGGTATTGTAATGGGGTTCAAGGGCAGCATCATAGTAAATGCTGTAGAAAGCCTTCCGGGTATTGAACCCCTGGAAGCATTGAGGTGAAGATCTTGAAACTACATCTGAACAGAACATTTAATGCTTATCTATGGTATGTGAAGGCTTTATCTAAGGCTGTATTTGCCATATTCAACCATTTTATAGTTGAGAAGCAGGTTAAGTCCATAAATAGAAAGCAGGCAGGGAACCGGGAGCTTTGTCTCATTTCCAGCTGTGTGGACTTAAGCACTCAGTCATGACCTAGATTGTAGGGTGCCCCTTGCTGAGATGCAGCCTGCTGCTTTGTCCTTTTTTTCTCCAAACATGTCTCATCAATGAGCAGTACGCATAGTGGTTTTAGCCTGCAGCAAGGGCTTGTCGTTCATTGATGCAGTTGCTCCCAGAGAGCTTCTCTGCACTGTTTCTGTTCAGCTCCCACTTTGGGAATGAGCAGGATGATGGTTAATCATGTTTACAAAGCATTTAGAGAGTAAAGAGGGAAAACTGTTAAAAGTACAAAGCATTAACATTCATCAAAGACAATGATACTTGTGGTGTCAGACTTCCATGAATGGATTAAAGGTATTTGAGGTCCTTATGTTGATAACTACAGTGTTTTTCTGAGCAGTTTCCTCTCTCAAGGATTATGATTATCTTTCATTCTTTGATTATCTGTAATGCAAGCACTTGTGGGTGTTTGTTTTTTTTTTTAAACAAGCCAGAAGAGCTCAGCTCTTCCCCCTTCTTACTCATGATGTGGGTAAGTCCAGCAGAACTTTTGATGTTGGAGAAGTAAGAGGAATTTGTGATGAACAGACAAAGAGTTGTCACTCTTCCTCCCTCCTCAAAAATAAAGTACTTGCAGTAATAAGAATAGATGTTTTGAAGTAGGAATTGTTGAATGATAGTAAATTCCTTCCATTAGACCTAGAGGCCCTGAGCATCTGCAGTTGTGATTGGGTGCCTGAGTAAAGGACCTCACCAGGACTTCATGAAGGGACATTTATGCTAAAAGGCATGGCATTTGTGGCAGTGTAAGCTGCGTTCCTCAGCTGTGCTATAGCGATGGAGAAGGAAGCCTACAAAGTTCCTGTGGTCTCTGGCTGAGCCTTTGCCTACCTGCCTCACCGTGCCTGACACAACAGCACCGGGTATGGGAGGGGATATGGCAATATTAGCTTAAGGCTTGTGGTTGAGGTCAGGGGTTGGGAATTCACTAAATCGGAATTTATTTTGCCAAACCAGTGCTTTTTAATTTCTGAAAACGTTCCTGCCAAAGAACTGTTGCCCTGATATTTATTGTCTGCAGATCATGTATGCTGTGAAGAAGACAGAGTATTAAAGTTAATTCTGTAACATTTGGGAAAAAAACACATCCCAGTGCATATCTTTGTGGCGTTTTCTTCCTCGATGTCTTCTCAGGTCTAGATGGTTCTATTTCAGTCCTTTGCTACTTTCAGAGTCTCCTCAGTGTTTATTTACCCTTTTATCATGCCTTTGTCTCAGGAAATCACAACTGTTAGGTCAGAGAGAAAGTGTTTTGTTGAGGATCTGTTCCATTCCAAGTGCTAAATACCAAATTTGCTCATAGGGTGGCCTTGTTCCATGGCCTATAGCGATCAACAGACAACTGATCTTACCAGACACATGTAATGACCATGCCCTGGATTTATTTTTTGGAAGGCACAATACAGGGAGAGAACTGAGGTCTTCACAACTAATGCTTTGTATTTGCTTGTGTGTAACTTAAGAATTTAATGGTACCAAAATAAAAGGTGATAGTTAAGCCTGTGGAGTTGCTCGAGTATTTTTTTCCAGACAAGGCCAGTGCTATGTTAGTGGCACCATGAGTGCTTAGCACTCCCCGAGAAAGTGAATAAAATCAGACTTCTGTATCAGGCGAAGAAAAAACAATGGGCGAAATGAGTCACTAAGAATAAAATAGTAAACAGTGACCCTTCCATACTCTCCGAATAGGGAACTGGCTCAAAAGAGCGGCTGCTTTAATATTTGTCTGCTTTTGTGTGCTTCAGATACAAGGGACTTGCTGTCCTGTCAGACTTGCCTATTCCAGTGTTTTCTGTGCTCAGGAGTTTTGTGCTACAAGAGACAGCCTGATTTTCTAGAGCAGGCAGAGGCACTTTTGCTAGTGGCTGGTGTAGAGCCTGGGTGTTCGTACACCAAACGCAACTCTAGGTCAAGCAGAAGGAATATCTGTGCTTTGCATAGCTACAGGCAAGTGCTGATAGCAGCAATCCCAAACAAGAAGCACGTTAAAGCTACGTAAATCCATAGATTTTTGTTATGGCAAGTTACATTTGTCTCATGAAGCATTGACAAATGTCCTCTAGTAAATTGTGTCAAAGTGGTTTAAGATGTTTCTGGTCTCTACTGTCTCCCTGCCTATTTCCAGATGCAGCAGGAGAAGATGTGGACAGGCCTCTTAATATTTTCAGTGCAAGATCACTTAATCCCTATTGTGGATTTGCGCTTATAATGGGACTATGAACTGGAATATTTTAGGTACTGCCCCCCCTTCTTGCTACCTGCAATATGTTCAGCACAGAGGTGAAGGACCATACTGAATTATGCAGGTTATCCCTGTCAAAACCTCTTTTGCACCCTAGTTCAGAGTACTGTAAATGACAGTTCTTTGGTTCCTAATAACAGGTGAATTTGGCTGGGGAAGCTGCATTCAAGAGCCATTTATGGTTCTGTGCTCTGCTTTAGCGTTCAGACTTCAGCTGCGCAGGGTTAGTGGAGTGGATCTCGGGGAGTTCAAACTACAATTAGCAATACTTCCTGCACAATGACACTTTCTGTATCTTATTTTTACTGCTGGATACTCAGTATGTTTATATGGCAGATGGTACTTCACAAGCTTTAGCTAAATTGCATTATAATGATGGCATCTCAGGGCCCAAACCAAACTGAGGTCTCTGTTGTAAGATCTTTAGGGTACGATCTCTGTACAGTGCCTGAGGCTTTGAGTTTAGGTCTTCAAGTGGTGTGGCAAAATGATAAAGTAATAGGGCTAAGTACTGAGCAGGTTGAAGGGCTTGGCGTCCTCTCCCATCATTCCATTTGTGTCTATGTTGTGACTGTCTCCAGCTAAGCTGGTTGCTCAGCTCTCACTTGAGCCAAAGCAGAGAAGGCTGGGCAGCACTTGAACTCCTCCTTAAGCAGGAACATAAAAGAGAGCAGGTGAATCATCACTGAAACTGCACTGTGTTGTCTAGGTTCCCCTAGTCTTTACAAGAACTTGGGGTACGTAGCTTGGATGGACACCTCTTCTTCCAGCAAGGCCCAAATCTGCTGTAATTGAACACTTGACACAGGGCAAAATTGGAGAGCAGTGACAAATTTGCTTCCTTGTTTTTCACAGTGAGGACTCTGTGTGGGAATATTGGGTAACTTGCCTGAAGTTGCACAGAAAATCTGTGGCAGATCCATGAGGATAAATCAGACTTTCCAAATGACATTCTGGTGGCATAAATCTGAGGCTGTCTCAATGTGAGATTGACCAGTGCCTGAGGAAATGTGCCTTTAAAATACGTCTTTCATGGACTCATACCTGCTGTTTTGTTTCTGTAGCAGATAGAGTTTCACGCTGACTTTTCATGTCTTGGTTCACCATCCAAATTACGTGCTGACACAGAAGGCATTGCTACTCTGAGCAGCTGACAGAACTGGAGCAGTGATAACTAGACATCTTGCCATCGTTTTGCTTTGCAAAAATAGTGATCAGCTTTGGCCAGACTTGAGATTCTTAGAACTCTTTCCAGCAAGCTCTGTGGGCTGTGCTGGAAAAGCATCTTAACCATTTCAGGTCCCATTGGATTGAGTAGCAGCACTCAGCTTGAATGGTTGAAGATGCTGACAGACAAAGGGTTAAGGGATTTATTACCAGATGCTCTTAGGCAAGGAGAATTAATAGATGAAAGTGAGCCGCTTGCCTTTTATTTTTGTGTGTTTAGTAACCACATCGTCATTGCCTGCTGCATTTCAAGGCAGAGCCTAATTGGCAGGTGAACTGAGCAGAGCCCTGTAGCCAACTGAGTTTCCATTTTACTGCTTTCATGTTTTAAAAGCTTTTCTGTTCTCAACAATTGTGTCTTTTTCTGTATTTTAAATGTTAAATATGCTCTAATGAATGCAAAGCCTATCAAAAGTAACCTGGTTTGAAACTAAAAATAACCTGGTTTTCATGGCAAACCTGGGTCTTTTTTTGGCACAGTTTTGATTTACACATAAATTGGGTACCTCTTGGAGAGGTGGGGAAGGAGGAGTGTCCCTGCTTCCTTTCTGTATTCTCCTGTGCCAGCCCCTGTTCTGCTGCGTGGTGCTCTCGGAGGCTTGCACTGCATGTCACCACATTTACATTATGTGCTTACCTCAATGGATTTCACAAACTGAGATGTGCTGGGTGAGGACATGGCTCAGGAAAGCTGAACTTACCACACTGCTAGTGGTGCTTGGTGGTAAACCTCCAAGAGCACGTGCCTTGCTGCAGCAGAAGGTAGAGATGTTGAATGGCCAGAGGAACCATTCTGGAGCATGTGTCAAGCCATGGTCCAGAAATCATTGGCTGCTGCTGCTTTTCTTCTGCTGTGCTGGAAAACAAATTTTGGGATGCTCTTGGATAAAACTTTTTAATAAATTTGCTGAAAAAATGTCAGCATGGACCATCTTTAAATCATCTGCAAAGGATGAAGCACATGTCTTTCACCGCCCTCCCTTAGGATATACTGAAAGAGTGGGGTCTTGTCTCTCGTACTGCTATAAAGAATTAAAGGTTTATTGGAGTGGAGGCTGAAATCCTGTAATCTTTTCTCAGCTGAACATTGAAGCTGGACCTGCTCTTAGTTGGGTGGAGTGGACCAGAGGACCTTTGGAGGTCTTTCCCAATCTTAATTATACTGTGACTTTATGAATGGTGGGAGTCATTTCACATAGTGCTGGCTACTTTATTTTATGTTTTTATATGTATGTTTGTATATACAAAATATACACAGAAGAAGCTCAAAGGGAGGACTGAGGGAGAGCCGTCTCTGAACTTCTCATTTCCAAGTAGTCAAGTTACTTCCCTGGGAGAGGCAAGACCTTACTTCAGCCCCATGTCCCGAATCATACACGTGATAGATCTGATCATGTAATTTTTGTTTTTGGTTCATATGCTACACACGTCTATCACTTCCAGTTTGGGGAATTTGCCTTGCTTTCCTGTTACAGTGAAAGAACCTGAAGTGTTTAATTTGGTGTAGAAACAGGGGTTTTTAGCTTGTAGTTTTGTTAAGAACAAAAAAAAGGTAGATTAAGCTTGATCCATGGTTTGTTTTGTATTTTCGCTTTCGCAGCCAAATTGCAAAACCAGTTATTCACACAGCTGTATTTCTAGCTGCTTGCGATTTATGGGAAGAGCTGAGATACATTTTATGAGATAAATCTCACTACTGTGGCCGACGTCCAGCTTTAGTTAAAGCATTTCGTCTGCGCAAAATTCCCCTGCCATTCCAGCTAGATACGGTATTCCTCGCTGCTTTTCTCAAACCAGTAACTTGCATAGCTGTAAACGATGGGACTGCTGTGGAATTCAGCCCCACATGTGGATAAAGGGGCTGATTATATATATTTTAAAAGGAAAACAAGAAAACGGGGTTTGCCAATTGTTACCAAAAAAAAAAAAAAAACATGTATAGAGTACTATTCTTTTCCCCTGTTTTAACAAAATAGCTTTACCTGGATGCTCATGTACCACAGCAGTTGATGTTGTGAGATGGCGCTAGGATAATTTGCTTTCTTGGAGACTGTTACTGCAGTTGATTGGATAAACTGCTCTTACTAAGCAGGCAGTGTGAGGATATCCTCCTGGACCCATCTGTGGATGCCTGAGGAAGCAGATCACGTAGGCCAGCGGTGACAGCAGAGACAACCCCTTTGTGATCTGAAGCGACTCGGAAGCTAGATTTCCAGTCAGTATGAAACGGTGCTTCCAGATCTCCCTCCGATACATGCAAGGCAGCTTGCCTGTCAGGCAGGTGCTTTCAGTTCATGCAGCCAGGCTTATTAAGGGAGTAGCCACAAGAGGGAAGAAAAGGCAATGATATAACTCATGCCTTGGACTGCTGCTAAAAGGAGCCAGTGTAAGAGGGTAAGGAATTAGGACAGATTTTTCTTGTGTTGTTTGGAACTCTGCTCTTGGACTTGGTTGTGTGAACTGACGAAAATTAAAGTTGAGTAGGCCCCATAAGTCAGCGTGTGGTATCGCTGTGGATGTCTCTAGCCTTAAGACCTGGCTATCTCTTTTCACTTTAGAGGCTTCTGCCCTGCTTGGACCAGTGACTATAGGCTTTTTCAGACAACAGGGTCTCCTCTCAATCTTGGAGTAGCTGAAGGTGTTTGCTACAGTCCCACATATGAACAGTAATTTGCTAAGTGTAGTGTAAACTGGTTGATACGTAATATAATGCTTGCAGCCTGGAATAGAGCTGTAGCCAATGCATCTGTTGTTTTTCATCTTGGGTACAGCCTCAGCCTCTTGGCCACCTTAACATCCGTTCATACCACACCACCCTCTAGTCCCTCAAAAATGATTTGTTGATTGCCCAAGTCTCACTTTTTCCCTTCTGCTCCATGCAATGACACTTCTTTCTTCAGTGGATTGTAGTAAAACAACGTTTTCTGTCCTTTGACCTGGTCCCTGTCTAACCTTGCAATGCCGTCAGCTGTGTGATCCCCTCCTGGCCTTGCACCAGCCGTGCTTTGTCTGCATCGGCTCTCAACATGCACAGCATCTTAGGACAAGCTGCTGCTCTAAGGCACAAACCTATCAAGAATTTAATAACGCAGCCAGCAAAAAGCTGATGTTTACACCGATTTTTACTTTTAATTTATCCCCCACCCCAATAACGCTACCATTTCAGATTTTGTTTCTCTGGTCTTTAGTTCATTGTTTAGTTCATCCCAATCCAGTTTATTGGAGCAAGACGCGCGTCTTTTCATCAGCACGCTTCAGGGCAGACTCCAACAAAAGATTTGGTCATTTAAATCAATGAAATAACTAACTGCTATGGGTCTATTACATTTCTCAAAGAACTGGCTGCTCAATTGCTGAAAGCTCTCAGTCTTTTCTTCTGACAGATACTAAAGAAACTGAAGGGCCTTGCCTTGGAGACAGAAGCCGAGCTGGAGAGACAGGACGAAGCTCTCGATTCCATCACTACCTCTGTAGACCGCGCGACGCTGAATATTGACAAGCAGAACCGCAGAATAAAGAAACTAACGTAACGCCCGCAGGAGCCAGTGGGGGTGGTATCGTGAGGAAGAGGAGGATCGGGGAACTGTGTTTTTCAAGACTGTTTCTTTAATAGACACTTAGATTGTCTGGGAGGTGTTTGCAATATTGTCTGGAGTATGATGCTGCTGTTGTCGAGTTCCTGAGGGTTTGAAAATGTTTCCAGACTTGGATGATGTTTGAAGGCTGTTTTAGGATTAACAAGGTCAAGACTTTTAATTGCGGTGAAACAATGGTAGTGGATTCTTTACTACAGAAAATCTGTAAATATGTAGGGTTGTGATACAATCTGAAACAACTTTTCTGTGTTTTTTTGTGTTGCTGCTTTTGAAAGCTGTTTGGTTTTTTTTTAACTGCAGCGAAGAACTGAAGGAGAAATGAACTGCATATGAGACTACTTTAGATGATTACAGCCTATTAATTCTCTCTCAAGGTCTTTCTTTAAAATAGTTAATAGCTGAACTAAGGGCCAGATGTCCCAACTGCAAGTCATTGAGGCTTTTTTTTGTAAGTTAATGCTGAGGTGAGCAAATGATGGTGATAAAACCTTGTGTTCCCTGAGCGAATAGTTTTAATAGGTTTCAATCATGCTTTTCATGTACCCAGAAATTTTATAAGAGTAATGAAGACTTAGTGGCCACAGCTGTCTGTTGCCATGTCCTGGGAAATCAAGAGAAGAAGGTTAGTTAATGTGCAGGTATTGGTAGAGACATCTACTTATTGAGCAGATTTTTTTTTCCATTTGATAAATGTTTTGCTTACTTAAGTCACTTACAAAATGTATGTGTCAGAGCTAAATACATGCTTCTGCTTTCCAAAAAGGGGCTGCTGATCTTTGATGATCATCTACGTGTTTCTGTGTGTTTTATTTTTCCCCTTCAAACTGCACATGTAGTGAAGGAGTTGACTTTGGAGTGGAGAAAGTGATTTTCTTCACAGGCAAATTAATTCAGTCCTTGGAGTTGACTGTATCCCTTACTTGCACACAGTAGTTTTATAGTTTTGGTAATAATCTGACATGGGATGCAGTGTCCTTAGAGCATCATGAATGAAGCATTTTCTTAGTGTGGTCCCTAAATACCATGCTGGATGTGTCACATCTGGGGTGTCACATCTCTGACAGATGTTAGTGGAAGGTCTCTTGTCCCTTTGTTTCTCTGTCCTTCATTTTTCAAGAATTTCCCTATACCATTCTTCTACAACCCTCTGAATGGGAACTTCATGAGTTGTGGAGCATTATGTGGTTTTTCTGTGTCTACTTCTGATTCACAGGCTGAGGGGCCTGTGGTCAGAGCTGTAGGCATCTGTATAACATTTGATAGTCGTGGTCCATGCATCTATCTTATGGCTTTTATGTATTTGCACTAACTAGTGGTGAAGCATTTCAAGACTGCTCTCAGTTGTTGTCTAATAGGTTTTGTTGAGTTTACAGATGGCTCCATTGAGACTGCAGGGCAGTGGAGACCTTTTCCCATCCTAATTTACTTGATAATGTATAGGAGAGATTCATGGTAATCCATGTATCTATCGCCTGTGGCAGAGAACTCACATTTCATCAATTCCTACAGTTTACCACCTGTTTTAGTTCAAAGTATGCCTTTTTTTAAAATGTTTTTATATTAAAAAATTCTTCTTGTATTGCTTTCAAATACAACACTTTTTGTGCAATATTTTTAACTAGTGAAGCTTTGAACTGCTTATTCTACTGATAGTTGATGTGAAATTTTCCCGTTTCAGAGTAATTCAGCCTACCTTTTAAATAAAGGTACCGCAAATCACATAGAGTATGTTGTCTTCAAGATTTTACTCTACCTTGTTTTGTATTACTTCATGTTAGTTACTTAGTATTGGAGTAGAGGTACTTCTGCACTGCAAGTTCTTCATTTACAGTCCAAGTTGTTACTGGCATGCACTTTACCTACTTGCTGAATATGGTGATTATATATACATACAATATGTACTGTGGAATAAAATATTGTCTGGGGTTCTCTTGTTTGTTCCCAATACCCAAATCACTGTTGTTTTACTGTGAAAGGAAGATATGTTTACACAACTAATTATTTCATGAATTTAAAAGTACACTTTGCATAAAACATGTGTTAGCTGAACCTGGTGCTGACTGGAAACAGAGCTCTACACTGAATTAGTCCAAACCAGGTTTGCCAAAATTAAGTACTAATTACACGTTGTTTAGTTTAGGATTCGTTGTGCCATACTTTTTATTGTTGAGGTTTTTAACACTAACTGTTGCATCTGATTCAGTATTTTGTGGTTTGCGTTAGTCCAACATGTCCATGCTAAAGCAAAAATAGTAATATTGATTGTAAGAAGTGATCCATTCTAGAGCTGTGCATTAGCTAAATTTCATGTGCCCGGAGGACTTTCAATCTGTAATTTCTTCTTATTAAATATCTTGGAATAGTGATCTTCTCTTTTGTATTCACTTGGCTGAGAAGTTGCAATAAAAAACGCTCTCTCCACTCCCTTGTCATACTGTGGAACAGGCTTTAATGTAGCACTTCTGGCAGGGGTGGGTTTCAGGATAGGCTTTTTTTTTTTTTTTTTAATTAAAAAAGGAAAATATTAACTGCTGGTATATCATCTGTGTGAATGTCAGCTATCCTTGAGTGGACGATGAAGTGGGTGAATGTCAGCACGGTGTACGCGGCGGCTGGTGCTCTGTCCTGGAGACTGTGGCACAGGAGCTGCTCCCGCTCGTAGAGAGTGGACTAAGACCTGCTTGGACATGTCCCGATTTGAACAGCCTCTTGCTACACACGTGTAAAGATTTTACTCTGATCAAGACTTTTCTTATTATGTAATAATACAGCTGCTGTTATTGTCAAAAGTGCTTTGAGCCTCCTCATTTCCCTTCCGCCTGAAACCCAAACGCCATTATTTTCCAAATATGCTCCAATGGGGAAAGATGCAGCAGGTAACATGTACCAAACATCATTCCTGTGCTTCGTTCTTCTCTGGCATAATTGTTACTTGGACAAGGCTTAGAGACATAATTCCAGGGTAACTTTTGCCTTTTATACGCACAATTTTTAGTTCTTCACAGGTCTTTTACTAGAATGTGAAAAGTGGGGGGCTTTGTCATTAAGAGACATAAGGAAAAGAATAATAAAAGAGATTCTTCATTAAGAGACATAAGGGGGGGGGAGAGGTTCTAACCCAAAAAATAAGAAGGTTTTACTTGGGAAGGTAGTTGAAAACAGCTCCTGCAAAAACAGAACTAGATTGTACTGTATCATATAGTAGGTTTATTATCCAACATGTGTTCATGGCAGTGATGAGTGAGCCTGAAATGACTGGAGCTCAAATGTATTTCTGCAGAGCAGTTTGAACGTCTCCTGTGGAATCATTGAAATGCTGGTAGTAGACATGGCACTTTGCAATCCTCAGAGGAGTGGCGTAAGGAGCTGCTTTTCAGGCAATTAATTAATTAAACCAAAGCTTCATAATAGCTGTCTGTGTTTCTGAAGCCAGTGCTTTGAAACCACTGGTATGCTCTTCACAGAAGGAAATGGAGCAAAGCTGCTTGCAAGTGTTGAAGCCTGCCCCTGGGAAGAGTGTTTGGGATAGAAATTGGCCGTATTTACTTTTTAATATGACAAACCATGGCAGCAGTATCCCTTGCCTCTGCTCGCTGTGTGTGAGCAATGTCAAACCTCAGCCTGGTAGAGGGAAAAATAATTTTGTAATGGTCCTAAGTCATAGGTTTAACAGCTGGGCTGTGCAGAGCAAACAGCGCTTGGCTCGTCCTAACGCTCCGGGCTCCCGCGTTTGCGACTCGGCACGGGGCTGCTCGGGCTGCCCAGCGTGGACCCGGTGGGAAGTGCGTTGGCTTTGTGTGTGAGCAATGTCAAACCTCAGCCTGGTAGAGGGAAAAATAATTTTGTAATGGTCCTAAGTCATAGGTTTAACAGCTGGGCTGTGCAGAGCAAACAGCGCTTGGCTCGTCCTAACGCTCCGGGCTCCCGCGTTTGCGACTCGGCACGGGGCTGCTCGGGCTGCCCAGCGTGGACCCGGTGGGAAGTGCGTTGGCTTGGCCTTTGGCCACCAGCCCCCT